TTTCTATTGAATCCGGAAGCCTTTGTGAAATCCGATTCAGATCCTAAATACCATTTTTTTAAAATCTATTCAATCCTCTAGAATAGTAGAAGTAATGCGATAATAATAGAAACCTTTATATTATATTTTTTAATTCTCCTTTGGAACTTAAAAAATGACAAAAAGAATTTATCGAGGAATTCAAACATCCAATTTTCGAACCGGATGGGGAGAATTGTAACAAAGCGAGGAAACTGTACGTTACCTGGGGGGCAGTTGCGGCGGCTTTTAAGAAGTGGCGGCTCGTTAATTGGAGCCTTTCTAACGATCGTGATTAGTGCGGTCAGTTCCGTGTCACAACCGCTCGTCAGGACGCCGTCCCACCCTTTAAATTAGGGCTGCAATTTTGCCCGTTTTTGCGCGACCCCTCAACCTTCGAACGAAGGCAAGTCACCCCCCTTCGACGTGCCTCCAACCTCTCCGTCTCCCCCAAAACGACGTCACTGCTGCCGGTCGCTGTTATTTTCAATTTCAATGCCTACTTGCTATTTGAAACGATCGGACAGCTCTATTCAGACCAAGAACTTGGCTTAATCGACATTTTGCGCCCATTCAATCTACAGACCCTCATCGAAGAAGGTCGAAGGTTATTATAGCAATTATTTGGAGGTGTTTCGAAAAGGGAAAATACTTTAAAAAGAACAGAATAGGTTTAGGGATAATGTTATTGCAAAGATGTACAGCCAACTCAAAATTTCTTGCTATTATATTATCATATAATTAATCATCATTGCAACTATGCAACCAATATCACAGTATAGGTATTGCAATACGCGATTTGCGATATTGGTTGCATACTTGCAATTTGTATAATTAAATAAAAATATAACCATCATGATATCTCTAAAAAAAATTTAATTACAACCCTGGAGTGTAAAGGATGTGACGAAATAACGTTAACGCCGACGAAGAAAAACGTTGTGAACGATAAAATTAAGATAAGGTCGAAAGTTTTCGTACGCCTTATCGTTTTCCACGGTCAGCGCTCCTTCTTCTTCTTCTTCTTCTACTTTCCGCAGAGTTTCTGTCCCCCCGTTTCGAAATGGATACGGAATCTGAATCTCAGCACTACGGATAAAAGGGGACGCGATATTCGCGTCGGAGACAAATTTCTCGTACGCAATTCCTGCTTAAACAAAGCGTTTTTATCGGACCGAAACCCCCCTTCGAGATAAACGCAAAATTATTGATCCTTAGAGACTCGTTCGAATTAATTATTATAATTGGATGTAGTATATAAAATTAAATTTATCATAAACAATAACTTATATTAATAAAAAGATATTAAAATTTTAAAAAACTTTATTAATTTAAAGGATATATACACCATATTGTCTAAACCGCTGTCAAAACCATGATCTATGACCTACTAAATTATATGTTTCAAAGTTGGGATCTCTACAAGCGTTCGGGATGTCACAAGAAATAGACCAATTGTATTTCATAAATTATAGCAAATCAGAACTAGGTTAAATGAAGATGTAACATCAATACTACACCGACATGATATAATCTGCTATTGATAGCATCGTAGGGAAGGAATAAAAAGTTGTAATAAAACTCGTATAATATTAGACGTTTATTCTGCATGAAATTTATGGAAAAAATAATTTCATTACTCAGCTTGAAGTTCAATCAGGTGATTTAGACATGGGTCCTTGAGGATTTTGAGGTGTCCTCTGAGGTTGCCCTGCATCAACTTGAGTGAAGAAACTATTTTCAGTTGAAGCTGCCTCCTTTTGTATATATAAATTCCTAGGAGCCTGCGGCAGATCTGGTTTGCCATGATGGCCTTGTTTCTCACCTTATCTAAGTGTGAAAGGAGGCAGCCTTAAGTGCCTTATCACTGAAAACAGTTTCTTCACTCAAGTTGATGCAGGGTAATCTCAGAGGACACCTCGAGATCCTCAAAGACCCATGTCTAAATCACCTGATTGAAATTAAAACGGACCTTATACCGACGGAATACAATTTCAACCAACCGTATAAGGTCATATTTAGTAGCAGGGATGATTGGGCGAAAGGAGGGCCTCAACTAAAAAGAGGAGCCCTAGCCTGGTACACCGATGCTTCAAAGACAGTAAGATCTGGAGTAGGCATGGGCATCAGTGGACCAAATAGCCACATCAAATTGCCCCTCAGCTCGGACTTAACAATTTTCCAAGCAGAAGTTCTTGCTATAAACTTCTGCACCGCTTTGAACCTACAGAAGGGACAAAAAGGTGCATCCATAAACATTTTCACAGACAGTCGGGCCGCCTTAAAGGCAATTCAGGCCTACACGTGTGGCTCCGCACTGATCAGAGAGTGCACCAACAACCTGAGAGAACTCGCTAGGGGCAATGATGTTACCCTATGGTGGGTTCCAGGTCACAGCAACATTGAGGGCAATGAGAAGGCCGACAAGCTGGCCAAAGAGGCAGCAAACACGCCCTTCATTGGACCCCAACCTGGATGTGGACTACAAAAAAGCCACCTAAAACAAATAATCAACAACTGGGAGGCTTCAAAGATAGCCTTACGCTGGAAAGAACTTCCAGGTCACAGACAAGCGAAGAGTATGATAACTCCGTCGCAAAACAAAACCAAAGAGGTTTTATGCCTCAGCAAAGGGGATCTAAGAACGCTCTCAGGCTACCTAACCGGCCATGTGCCCCTAAAATACCACCTCTTCCACATTGGACAAGCTGAGGATCAAACTTGTCGACTATGCAACGACGAGTCAGAAACTGCTGAACATATACTGTGCAATTGCGTCGCCAGAGGACGTCTAAGGCACAACGTCTTCGGTAAAACTCCCCTGTTACCTACCGACATAAAGGTTCAAGACCTCAGGACAATACTAAGGTTCATTAAGGACCTACATTTGCCCTAAACCTTTGGAGGGCTAAAGTTACAATAGATCTTATAGGTCGCGGTAACGAGAGGGGCCGCCCTCCTCAGCCCGGCAGCAATAATAATAATAATAATATCTAAGTGTGAGTTCCAGTTTAGGTTACTGTCTAGTATTACTCCTAGGTATTTAACTTTTGTTTTGATGTTAATAGTTCTGCTTTCAATGGAGGGTGCTTTTATTTGTAGCTTTCTTCTCCGAGTGAATCTTCGATTTTATTTGGATTGATACTGAGCCCATTGCTTTTACACCAAGTACTGGTGAGGAGTAGGGTTTTCTGCATTAGTTGAGTTATGATTGTATCATATTTAACAGTGCTAGTCAAAGCATGGAGAGCAGTAATTGTTGATTTTACTTTCTGGTAAGCATGTTGACTAGGGTGGAGTGGATTAGTGACAAGCACTCTATTCCTAAGGTATTGATTGGTTAGGCTAATTGGTCTGTATGCCTTGGGGTCAACGTTTGAAAGCGGAGATTCGGAGCTTGAAACCAAGTTTACCATCTAAAATCATACACCAATAATATAATAAAGAATTTCTTATGAGTACTGATTGACTCAATCCAAAGTTATTCATCGTATGCTATTAATAATAGAAATGGGCGATAAGCTCAGCACATTAATTTAGAAATAAAAATCGTGAGTCTCGTTATAAAAATGTAGTATTTCATGATTAGAAACTATTTTTACTAAAAAAAGAAAAGAATCGTGAGTATTGCAATAAAATTATAGTATTAATAGTTATTTTCCACATTTTACTGATAAGAAGGAGTATAAAAAGGGAACCTGAAACTATCGATAGGTATTAGTACTCAAGCTGTAGCGAAGTAATCGTCAAAAAATGGTTGGTCTTCAAATTGCTTCAATTCTCACCTTATTTCTAATTTGCAGTAAGTAATTTTGATTTAATCAAATCTTATCAAATATTGTAATTTCAAATTGTTTAGACGCAGGGATTGTGCGTCAACCTTGTGGTTACAATTCAGAATTACTCAAAAATGGGAGCATCTGTAGACCTTTCTGCGACCAGGATCCTACCGAGTTGGAACTGCAATATTGCAAATCAAAATTAATTTCTGGTTGCTTTTGCGTGCCTGGCTACATAAGACCCTACGTCGACAGCATCCATTGTGTCCCTGAAGAAGATTGCGACCATTTACCAAAGTGTAGGGTCAATCAAACCTACAAAGAGTGCGCAAATCTTATCCCCAGAAATTGCGGAGATTTAGCACCAAGGGTGTTTATAGGAAAATGCCATGGAGGTTGCGATTGCAAGGATGGGTATGTTAGGATTTTTAATAGCCAGGAGAGTAATTGCGTGTTGGAGGCGGAGTGTGAGCTGTATGCGAGGAATGAATATATATATATGTACTAATTCATTTAAAAAATATATAAATGTAACAAGATTTTTAGTTCCCCTATTGAAAAATAGGTGGTGGGTTCAAAAATTCTTAAAAAATTAAAAAATTATTTCTATTGTTAAGATAAATATTTAAAAAAATTTATTGTATATTTTAAATAAGATTACTTACTTAATATTATATAATTTTTTATTGTTTATTATTTTTTTTGAATTTCTTTATGGTTAAGAAGACAATAAAAATTTTTGTACGCATTTTCTTTGTTACTGTGATACCTTTACGAAGCTACATTGTGTTAATTAATTATCGTACCCGACGTCATCATTGCAAGTATGCAACCAAATACGCAAATCTCGTATTGCAATACTACTACTGTGATGTTGGTTGCATACTTGCTATAATACGTCTTATACACACAAAGAACTTTTCTTAGTTGTCTAAAAAAAAGAATGAGTCAAGAAAACATAAAGAGGTGGTAGTTTTTTTTTTATTTTCTTTGTTAGGTCTTTATTCGTATGTTAATTACGTAGGCTTAAAAGCTAAGAAGATCTTGAAATCGTAAAGCTTCCGTTTTGTAGAAAGGGTGCAATGGGGTCGAAAGAAAGTTGGCGCCCGAGAGAGGCGTCGGTTGATGACGGTATAACGAACCGTATACAAGTTCGCGGATTTTTTTTGCAGGAACTGCGCGTGTACAAATACTTCCAACGTCGCAGGAATGCGCGAGCTCCTCCTGCTGCACGACGCTTCGGTTTTCGGTTTGTTCGGCAGTCGGCATCGCGACGCCCAGGCGTCGGTCACGCGTCCGTCCACCTCTAGATCCGTTCTCACGTTTGGAAATTTTGTCAACCACGCGGCGCAATCGGTCTTCAATTCTAAGAGTGTAACCATTGAAGAAGGACTTGTCTACCGAAACAGTTAAGATAAAAGAACAACGTTTTACAAGGTGTTGGATTCGATTTCAGTAAGTTTTTCAAGTTTATTTTTTAAAATATTCTCAAAATTTTGTTTAAATAAATAATTCTTGATTTCGTTTTTGCGATACCGGAAAAATTCGTTCAAAGATTTCGTAAAACCGGATAAATTAATTCGGTTAACGTTTGAAAGTTTAAACGTTCCGCAAGGGCGCCCTACGAAGGTCTATCAAAAGGAAAATTCTCATTAAAAATGCTTAAAAGGGTTCATTTAAACCTGCGAATTATATATTTCGCTAATGGTCAACGCAGACAGTTTGAACTAAGCATTTAATTATTCAAAACTCTTCTAATTGAGTATTTACGATTCGTTTACAATTTAGGGATTTTTTCTGAACTTGAAATATTAAATAAATTATTTAAAAAAAAATTTTGTTGTGATGCAACGCACGTTTACTTTTCTACTGGTTTCCGGTATTTGTCTCTAAACTCTTTAAAAATTCATGGCGGTTATCTAAAAATATATCAAAAAAAAAACACCAAAAAAGGATGGAAATACTGAACGAGCATATTAATGATTCATTTAATAATTTATGGTTGATGTTATTCTGTATTAAACCACAAATCTAGTTATGATTATCGCATTATATTGATTGACATTTTGTAATAATAAAATTATTATTATTAAAATTTTTTTCGTTCAAGCGAGATTAAACTCGGTTGTATCAGAAAGGCGTCTTTAAGCCGGAAAAACGCAGAGAGTATTTGAAGATGCTATCAAGCCGGGTCGTTCCGTTAAGAATTTGTTCCACCTCGCTACTTCCGGCGTCTCGAATATAATCGCCCTACGAAATCGCGAGAGTTTGAAGCCAATACAAGGAATGAAAATGCGAGATAAAAATCGTATGGGCCGATTACAAGGATGCAAAGAACACATATATAATTAAATGTATTTCGAAATTTCGACATCGGTTGAATTTTGTATGGAACTCTAACAGGCGTGACAAAAATTCAAACGTAGTTAGATAACGAACGCGAAATTGTTTGCCAGTCAAAGCTAAATTTTTGTTGGTTCGTTTCGAAAAAAAATGTTGCGTTTATTTTGCGCACACGCACTAGACAAACCATGAAATTCTGCTGAAACAACGCGAATTACATTAGGTTTTTTCGGGTCGTTTGTCGACAACCGACCAAGTTTATGTACAGTTTGAAAACGATTTTTTTGAGATAAAAAATAAAAATATAATGAGTACATTAAAAAAATAATGTGGTTTAGAGAAGACAAAAACTTAAAGCAGACTCAGCCGAAATAGAGTGAGTAGTCTAAATATAAGCTTAAGTAGACGTAGGTTTGTCAATGCGTTTATATATATCCTCTCGGAGCCGCATTATATAGCGGCTTCTCTTTGGAATCGGGATGTAATTTATGTACCATCTTAGCGAATGCATTAACATCGAGAAGTGGTTCCCTTTTCGAAATAATAATAAATACCCTTGCTTTCCGAGTTTTCTGGTTATCGTCGGACAACTTTCGAAAACATATAAATAACAGTTTATAACCAAGTATATACAGTGTGTTAATTAATCATTGCAAGTATGCAACCAATATCACAGTATTGGTATTGCAATACGCGATTTGCAGTATTGGTTGCATACTTGCAATGAGTACGGTAATTAATTAACTATATACAGTGTATATACAAAACTATAGGCAGCCGTTCTAATTAATATCAAACAAACAAAAAAGGCGTATAAATTCCAACTTTGCGCGCTCTCAAAAGCTGCCGGCGGAACAGGCATTCAACTCGGACAATGCGACCGAGGTACTTGTTCTCAAGTTTTTTTCTCCGGGCATTTATGAAAGATGAAAGATACACTTCGCGGGAAAAGCCTTCGTGGATGGAAAGTCCGGAAAGTTTTTAAAGTGCCTCCAACGAAACGATCGCAAACGAGACAACATGCGTACGACGTCATCACGCTAATATGTAATCATCTAAATCTTCATTTAAACCTCGGTATGTACCACGACCCCCCTCTACATAACGAGGGGAAGAAACTGCAGAGCACCGTCGTATCGCTACTTGTAACATTTGATCAAGTTTTACGAGAACGTACTGCTAAAAAACGATGGCATGGGGGGCGTGTCACGCATCCCCACGGTTATTTATGACGGCACTACGCATTCGTGAGAACCACTCTTGAAAACAAAGAGAAGATGAAAGAAAATACTAATAACTATATGTATACTGTCTAGGGTATGTCTCATAATATTCTTTTGTTTAAAAAGTAAATATCGATCATTTAAGTTTTCATAATTAAAAAAAATAATTAATCGATGTGTTAATCGATGATAAATAATCAATGTAGCGCCTCTTCCGCAAACGATCTTAGATTATAAAGTTATTAGTTTATGCAACCAATATCACAGTATTGTTATTGCAATACGCAAATTGCGTATTGTGTTATTAACACACTATACTTAACAACTTTATGGCAGAAATCATCGAACTTCGAAGATGTCGGCCGCCCCAAGTATTGTTCATGATATAGGAAGTAACCTCGGCCGACGTCTTCGAAGTCGGCCGCTCCAAATATCACAATCAATACTTGGGGCGGCCGACGTCTTCGAAGTCGGCCGAGGTTACTTCCTATATCACAAGCAATACTTGGGGCGGCCGACGTCTTCGAAGTCGGCCGAGGTAACTTCATTCCTTTATTTGCTTTGTAGACGTCGGCCGACCTAAGTATTGTCCGTGATATAAGAAACAATCTCGGCCGACTTCGAAGACGTCGGCCGCCCCAAATATCATGAACAATACCGACGTCTTCGAAGTCGGCCGAAGTTACTTCCTATATCACAAGCAATTCTTGGAGCGGCCGACGTCTTCGAAGGCGGCCGAGATTGTTTCTTATATCACAATCAATACTTGGAGCGGCCGACGTCTACGAAGCAAACAAAAGAATGAAATGATCTCGGCCGACTTCGAAGATGTCGGCCGCCCCAAGTATTGTTCATGATATAGGAAGTAACCTCGGCCGACTTCGAAAACGTCGGCCGCTCCAAGTATCACAATCAATAGTTGGGGCGGCCGACTTCAAAGACGGCCGAGGTTACTTCCTATATCACAAGCAATACTTGGGGCGGCCGACGTCTTCGAAGTCGGCCGAGATAACTTCATTCTTTTATTTGCTTTGTAGACGTCGGCCGACCTAAGTATTGTTCGTGATATAAGAAACAATCTCGGCCGACTTCGAAGACGTCGGCCGCCCCAAGTATCATGAACAATACCGACGTGTTCGAAGTCGGCCGAGGTTACTTCCTGTATCACAAGCAATTCTTGGGGCGGCCGACGTCTTCGAAGTCGGCCGAGATTGTTTCTTATATCACAATCAATACTTGGAGCGGCCGACGTCTACGAAGCAAATAAAAGAATGAAGTTATCTCGGCCGACTTCGAAGACGTCGGCCGCCCCAAGTATTGCTTGTGATATAGGAAGTAACCTCGGCCGACTTCGAAGACGTCGGCCGCCCAAGTATTGATTGTGATATCATGAACAATACCGACGTCTTCGAAGTCGGCCGAGGTTACTTCCTATGTCACAAGCAATACTTGGGGCGACCGACGTCTTCGAATTCGTGATCCTGATATTATATACAGTGTGTTAATTAATTATCGTACCCGACGTCATCATTGCATGTATGCAACCAATATCACAGTATTATTATTTTATACGCGATATGAGTATTGCAATACCAATACTGTGATATTGGTTGCATACTTGCTTGCATAATACACAAGGATAGTGTATTTTTTAGGGTTTTAACAACATTTTAATTTACTGCGGCAACTCACCAAATTTAAATAAAAAAGTTATAATCGAAAAACCAGTTTGAATCATCTCCGTTTGGGGGTGAATATCTCAGTAGCGAGTATTTTATTCTATACCCTTGGGCGGATGCTCACACATTCTCGGACCTTGTATGTACAGTTGCCCAATAAAACATTTGCGCACCCTAAATCTTGTAGTGTAGTACTTTATAAAAAATTGTTTTATTTCTATGAAAATTTATGATCCTTAAATTTTGCGGCAGTTCCTCGGGGATATTGATTTTTGGCTCCATAAATTAATACAATTTCAACCCTTTCTTGCACACTGTAAACCATTATTATTTTATTCAAATTACTTTGAGTTTATAACATTAACTAAGAATATATTATATACTAAAGCAACAGACGATGTGTTTACAAAACCTGATGTAATTTATGCTATTCCATGTTTTTACTACTTTTTGTAATTCATCTTCGAGAGGAAGATCCTAAGAATTATTGATCAAGATCCAAATATTGCAATGGGCCTAACCACATGGGTCAGGATGAATCAACCGAAGCTAGGAGAAGCCTGAGAGCAAGATGGGAGGACGAGATGGCAAAACTAGTACGTTTAAGTGAAACGGAGCATATTGAAATTTTAATGATGATAGAGTACGCAATCATGAACACAAAGTTAGGCAAAAGTAGTAAATATTTTTAATGAATTGCATCCGGACCGGAAATTCACCTCTAAATCAACCGCCCTAAAAGCTTTGCAGTTTCTTTATAAAATTGGAAGTGTCAAAGATGAGTTAATTGAAGTAATTTCAATTAAAAAATGTTTGGTTGAGACAATCGCGGGATGTATTGTGTGAGTGTATAGCTTGAGTACATGTGAAGTGGAGACAATGCTAAAAGTAGAAACAATGGGAAGAGATTCATTCAGTTAATTTTTTTGTTTCTTGACTCTTAGGTTGAATCTTGAGGGAATTTAAATTTGAAATGCATAGAATCTCATAAAATGTTAATAGAGGATGAATCTATTCAAATGTATGTAAGTCTGAATGTAGTGGTTGCATTTAAAAAAAAAGGAATTGTTTTGTTCCGTGGAAACCACGAAAGCGTGACGCCTAACGAATTTTCCTGGGTAGCGTAAGCTTATTTTGCCGTCGGGTAATGAGAGTAAAAATCGATGGCGAGGTATCGTTCCACGGAGTACTTCCCACGAGAAAAAGTCCT